GGCCAATAGGCTGCTGGATAGCACAGACTTCAGCACAGCGGCAAAACAAGGCTGTTCGACTTCAGTGTGAGCGAGAAGTCATGAGAACCTATATATATATATATATTGAAACTCATCACAAAACATCATGCATGAGAGCCTGACAGCCTGACAGCTTGTTTCTTGTGACCCTCCCAACCTCTCCTGAGTGATATCAGGGGGGAGGAGGGACCAGGTCTAAACTGCCGTAGAGGCAGTTTGTGGAGATGTTTTTCAAGGAGAAGGACAAATGAACCAAAATACGCATGGGCCTTGAGTGGCCCATGCGTGTCCCTTCTCCCCCTTCCTCCTCCTTTTGAACACCAGTTTCGATATATCGATTCCGTGGACCATGCAGCCACAGACTTGGCCTAACTAGTGAGACGTGGATCACCTGCAGGTTTTCCCCAATCACACCGGTGGACGAGGGTCCACCCTTTTATTCCAGGGCAACCCTTGGACTTCAAGTCGCGAAGGGCCGAAAAACCAGGTCTTAAGCTGGGAGTGAGTCTGATACATGACACCGTCCATGAGCCACGGGAAACAGCCAAGAAAAGATTGAGACATGCACCTCTTGGTCAGAATTTGACATGTTTGACAACATGTCATGCCATTATTTGTGTGGTGCAAGACTTTTGTGCCTTCATTGGTAGGTAGGACCTTCGGGATTTGTACATGCATAGGGCATTCAAAGAAAGGCATTTGGCATATGGTTCACATGTGCCATCGCAGCTCTCCTATCCTTCAATTCGTTTGGGTGGGGGCTTAGATTCGATAAAGGAACTCGCAGCCGGCAGGACTTCGAGCAGAGTTTGAAGCCACTCTGTGATCTTCATCTAGAAGTTCTCAGCACCCTGGGTGAAGAAGACATGTCAGGAAGAGATCCAAAAAGACAATTCTTTTTTCTTCATGTTTTTTCATTTTCCCTTCTAAGAAATGATTTCTTCACTTTTTTATCTGGCCGCTTCCAGGGATTTGTTGCGACTGGATCTCCAGACTCTTTTCCTGGGCTCCTCCCATGCTCTCCAAAAGCCCTAGCGCAGCCGGACTCGAAGAAAGCCTTCACATTCGGTGATGCGCCACGAGCCTGCTTCCCAGTCCTCCAGTTTGGGTGAGTGTCTTAGACATGTTTTGGAGCGGCAAGACATTGCATATTGAAATCCCATGAAGTACTCACTGACTAATGACTCTTCCTCACTTTTCCAGATCCGGTTGTGCAAGCACTCCTTCGTTGGAGCAGGCCGTGCTGAAGTGGTACGTCCAAAAGCACTCCAAAAAAGGATCGAAGCATGCCGGGCGGAAGCCGTTCCACCTAGCGTTGTAGGGTTCCACCTAGCGACCTGAGCGTTTTGGGAAGAGCTCCCCCTTCGCTCCCGGACTTCCTGTCGACAGGAGAGAACTGCAGATCCCCTTGGCCAAAGCAAGGTCATCTCATTCCACCGAACTCTCCCAGACCAGGAGCATCAGAATCAAATTTTGGCCCCAGTCCAGCCCATCCCAAACAGGGAGTGCCCGGGAGTGCTTTGAAAGCCCAAATCCTGAGGAAGTGGACTCGATGGGCATAACCTACTAGTAGCGATGGCCTCCAGCCTACTAGCGATGGCCTCCATCTAACCTTACAATGGTCAAGCTTTCACCGTGAGGCTTTTCTGGCAAACTCTTTGCTGAGCGTGCTGAGCAGCCTCCACTGGGCTTCCTCGCGCGCTTACGGCAGCTATGGCAGGCCACATGTGGAGGATGATGTTGGAGTCCAGAAGTGTGTTGAGAAAGCTCTAGACAGGTTCATGATTTCCATGTGGGCTATTCACTTTTCTGGGTGTGATAGGTACCGAACATTGCACTTTTTGACTTGAAGGAACACCTTGTGTTGTCGCGACTCAACAGTTCCATCCAACGACTTCAGAACCTTTTTATGCAGATGAAGTGGCCCCAAATCGGAGGACCCCGACCAGGATTGGTGCATCGCACAATGCCGGCTGGAACTTGTGAACTCTTCGATTTGAGTCAAAGACTATTTTAAAGAATGGCAAACGGAGACCGAATATTTTGGGAACTCCCTTTAACTTCAGCAAATGATACTGGACCTCCAAGGGGTGTATTTTCCAGGCGTGGGTCGTTGCATCTTCAACTAGACGTCCCCCTTCTCGACTCCTTCTTCTTGCGGGTCCCCGAACGATCGATTGCAAGGCGCCACCCATTAGATGCGAGTCGTTGAGCTTCAGCCATTTGCAAGTTCTGAATTTGGGTCCCGCCACTGGGCGCATCTGGGAGAATGGGAGACAGATCTCTGGATAGGGCTGGGAGAATGGGTGATTCTTGTAGAATGGGCATGGTTGGTGTCAGTCACCCCTCTGAATGGCTATTTTGGCCATCCCACCAGCCCTAATAGTGGCCTAATTTGTGGAGTTGAGTCGATCCTGGGGAGTGTGGGCTTGGGTGGACTGTTGAGCTTGGATTGTTTGCCAGAATCCAGGAACGACTGGACGGACTTGGAGGTCCCCGGATCATGGCACCAGGAGACCGATGGTGCAGGTGCCACGAGTTTGGAGCTCCGTTCTTTTCACGACCCGAACGAGATCTTTGGAGCAGAAAGCAGGTGGTTTTTTCCTCTAGGACTTCCGAAGACTGTCCTACCCAAAGAGCTCATGGAGACCGACCGGTTGACCTACCAACGATAGGTCGTTCGCGGCAAATGGGGGACGGGTCTTAGTGCTCACATGGTGGGTCACGAAGAAAGAAACGGTCTCGCTCATGAAGAGGTCTTTGGAATCCTGGAATCGAACACAAGAAATAGCATGAAAGAAAAACAAGAAATCTCATGAAATATCGAAATATCATATTATCATATGTTTAGTTTTTTCTTCTCTTGAACTCCTCAGGACTTTGAGCAGCCCTTAGGGCACTGGGAGCTCCAACACCTGCGTGAGCTCCACACTGGCAGAAGCTCCGAGCTCCCGAAACTACACCCGGTGGCCCGGCGAAGCTGCACTCGGTGAGGATGAAGGATCAGGATGAACGACTTTGGAATTTTTGCTTCGTCTTTTTCCCGAACGGCTGTGAAGTACAGAGGAGCGTCTGGGTACAGAGTTGTAGTATAGTTACGTCTGGGGCGGAAAAAGCGGTCTGATTGAAGAAAGACACAGACTTCTGGACTTCGATTCTTCGCTTCTTGGATTGGATGTTTCCGCCATGGCCAGCTGCTGGTCTTCTTCGGCCGGCCAAGCGTTTTTTCGTTCGTGACACCACATTGACACCTTCGCGGTAGGAGGACGAACAGGCGTTTTCCATCGTTCCGGTTGAAAGGCATGCCTGGTTCTACCATGAAGAAGGCGTTAAGGGGACCGAGCTTGGAACTGGATGCATATCTGGGGGGCCAAGTGTTTTTTCTTTTTTTCCAGCACCATCCAGGAACAGGAAACGGATGGTCGATGGACCTCGCTGCCTATGTAAGTTCCATGCCATCACTGAATCACACACACACACGGGCCCGAACTCGGATCACAGGGAGGGAAAGAATGATAGTGGTCACATCAAAGTCAACATGCGGCTAGACCTCTTTGCTTTGGATGGAAGTACAACCAGGACAGCGCTTGGCTGCAGCCAAGGGTCCAAAGAGGTCCGAGATGGCGAGGATGCTGAGGATGTCTATTTTCAGCACTTCCCAACCAAGGATTTCAGCTTTGAGTGGATACCTGGGGCCACATCTCAAAATCATTCCCGCACCGGCCTGATCGGCACTGGCCTTTGGAAGTGTGAAGTGGATCGGCCCACGGCCTTTTGGTGTTGCTCAATTTCTTCCCTTCTTCCGTGGAAGACGTGCCAAGCTACAGCCCTTGTAAGCCAGCCTTACGGCTATGAAATCCGAACACCAAACAGGGGATGAACTCCACTTCCATGTTAGTTCGGAGACTAACACTCTTCAGTCTTCGGGGTTGACGCTTCAGCTTTACGTGCCGCTCTCAACCCAGGAGAGCTTGCAGGTCTTGTCCTTCCGCGGCCACTTGGTATTTTCTGCTCCTGTTGAACAACAACCTGTTTGACGCAAAAGATATCCCAGACTTTACTTGTGACAAGACATGACAAGACACAAGTCACTCAACCTGCTCCCTCCTGCTCTTTGTTTTCTCATTCATTAGATCGCCCTTGCAAGTGTTCATGGCCTTTCCTACGGAGGTTGACGAACCCTCACCTGGCTCATCCCGCAACACCCCTTTTGCAAGTACACCGCCAAGCTAGCAGAAGGTGATGTTGCACCTTTCTGGACCTTCAAAGGGGTGTCCATTGGAGATCCGCTAGGTGGTGTAGGGTATTCCAGCCAGGAGACCCCTTAATAGTTCAGGTGCTGCACCTTGTCTGCTCTACTCCCTTGTGCCCCAAGGTGAACAGAAGGACACCTTGGACTTGCAATCCTTCCAACATCTTCGATCCTTGACGTGCCTCGGAGCGACGGGAACGTGGATCTTCACTCGCTCCGAAGCTTTCTGAAGCGTCGACGTTTCTCGGTGGGGGGGAAGCTAGGCAGCATGTTGCAGTCGATCTTTAGAGGGGTGAAAGCAGGAACTGCCGAGCTCAAGACGAGCCGTGTGGAAGGGTTTCGGGAGGAGAAGGGTTTCGGGTTAAGCAGGGCTTTTCTGACAGGAAGGGTGCGAATCACAGCAGCGTGTAGGAAGGAATCCAATTTCCAGTAGCTGCCATGCCCATGCCCAAAGAGCAAAAGAAATGACTTAAAATTCATCCTCCTTGCGAACTTTCAGTTGGGCCTATCAAGCGCACAATAGGTGTTCCATGGATTTCCCAACTTGCGGGAGATGGAAGGCACAAAACCCATCTCCCGCAAGTGTAAATATCGCATCCCATCTCCGATTTCGTCTCCAATTTTCAGTTGGGCAAATGCGTGTCCAATTCTTAAATATCGCCTTTGCCCTATTTTTTTCACATTCGAGCTTTCCCAGGCTTTGGGGCTCCCCCCTCGATCCGACCTGTCGAAAAGGACTAAAGTTGGAAGAGATCTTTGGGATAACAGGGGCTCTGTGAGAAAGAAGAAATACCTCCGGCAACTCTCCAAGTGTTGAAACTCTATTTTGGGAACTTCTGTCCGATCCTTAAGAACATCAGGTTCAATTCTACCGTGCCAGTCCGCAGATGGTGTCCATCTACCCACCAGATGGGCTCCCATCCTGACACCACACATGAGGAATCGCCGGCCTCGTGGCATCGCCACCTCTCCGATTCCGGTGTCCGAACGAGTCCCCTGGTCACGGTTCCGTCGGTCCCGGGTCGGTTCCTCGCCTTCTTTCATAGGGCCCGTGAGGACCCTTAACGACCCTGGTGACGTGGGGTGGGTTCCTTTTGATGACCCGGGTCATGAGGTC